ATATTGTTTATATTTAGGTTTGACACATGAAAATAAATAACTGAAAACAAACAATAGGATAAAAATTTACTGAGTGTGTTACAATACGATGTTATTGTGTGTTTGTTGTCTGCTGGTAAGTGTCGTTTAGTGAATACGAACTTCCGGTGTAATCATCAATTATTAGGCCTATTTGCCATTTGCGATCTGTAGCTGTGGCTATGAAATCTTCAAAAGATTTGAAATGGGACTCTGAGCTTTTGTGCATAGCATTGTTAAAAGTTCTCCTGGAACATGTCTGCCCCATGATATGTTCTGTTTCAATGCTATCTTGATTTATCTGATTGCTCCTTAGATAAAGAGCATGGTCCATTTGAAGAGGATTGCATGTTTGGCTGAGACAGTAACACAAATTATAAATGAATGAAACAACCCTTTTTTTTGTTTAGGTATATGCGGTCTATGGAATGCCAAAAGCTAGTGATGGAACCCAGAATAGTATCGAATAACTTTGTAGCACCTGCTGATATGCAAAACTCTCTGAAACTGTCTGGATCATACAGTGGTTCTTCCTTGTTAACTACTATGTCACCATAGATCTTTTTCTTGACCAATTCTATTTCCTTTTTCCTGTTGCATCCTATATTAGGTCGAAAATAAAATTTGAAGAAAAGTGAAAACTCAATTTCATATAGTTCGAAGTCATGTGACTTGCAGGTTTATGTTAAAGCCATATGGTAGTTCATCCTTTCAGACAATCTATTCAGAAGCTGGTGAATGTCTTTGAACTTATCCCTTCTGAGATGGTGCGATTGTTATCTGTTTGGGTTCAGGGGTAGTTTGTTCAAAATGAAGTGTTCAGGTTTTTTAAGGAAATTTGGCAGAGAAACATCTTTTTTTTTTCAAAGTATATTTTCAACTGTTATTGCTTATTCTAGCTTCCAAATCTGATGGTATTTCCGAGAAAAATGATTGAAAAAAGTTTACTTACTTTATGAGAAAATCCTTAATTTTTCCTCCATTCCTATTAAACTCTCCCTGGATACAACTACCATCTCTCTAGTACTACGGCTATCGCCATCGCTATCTGTCTTTTCTCTACTCAACATTGATCTTTTGTGTTTGCGTATTCGCCCCCTCTGGTTGCAATTCATGTCAACAAACTTTTGAATAAAAACAAGCGTTTGTTAACTTAGAAGCGTTTGCTAACGCAGAAGCGAGCGGACGCTGAGCTGAGCGGACGCATATTTCTCGCTCTGTGTGATTTTATTCTATTAAGTTTCCCTAATTATGGCTGGTAAAGGGATGTATTTGCCAGCTATGCTTCTTTTTATAATTTAACAATATCTAATTATTTAGTTTTTAATTTTCTTTATATATTGTAAATAATGTTTGTTGATGATTGACCCGCCTCGAATAGCAAGTTTGCTATCTGCGGGTCAACATAATCTAAATTATTTTGTAAGAAAAAGAAAAATAAAGTGTGTAAAGTGTAACTTGTAATTTTTGCTTATTAAGTGGGTTCTTCAAATGTTCAGTGATAGCATGAGATAGCACTAACATGCTGAAATGAATGTCCAGTTCGCCGGCGTTCTTCCACAGCCCTTTTACATCCTTCACAAATAACTTTCCCCTCATCGATCGATCTTCCAACTATCCCAAAACAACAACTAAAATCCCTTAAATAACTTTTCGCCTTCTGAAAACTATGTGTTTGGGACTTTCTCCCGCATATTATACAACCATTTTTCGATTTTTTCGCGCTTCTCGTGAAGTAACATTGAGAAAAAAATCACAAGAATGACAACAAACACAAATACACGCGCCATTGTAATTCATTCCCCACTACCACCGCATCTCTTCGTACAATTGGGGGGAAAGAAATGCGTTCGCGCAGCGCGGGCGCATACCAGCGGTTAATCGCAACAACCAAAAATTTTATGGAACATGCGCAGACAAAATGCCTCTCTGCTGCTGTCAAGGCGATGATGGAAACTTAGCCGGTTTATGACGTCACTCCATAACAACCAGCCTTTTCGAATATTTGAACTTCCGTTTACCTGTGGCTCGTGATTAGTTTTTATTTCAACATGGAGTAAGTTTAAACAAACTTTTCTTTTCTACAGGTCTCTCTATCGATCTTGAAAGGTAAAGGAATACTGAAATACTCCCTCAGGTAAGTCCAAAGTATACGTATCTTCTAGTTCTGTTGTCTGCAGATGAGATACATTTTAACTAACGGTATCATTCTTGGAAATTTTCATCGGCGTTGACATGCTAGGCCAATATTTTGCAGTATTGTAGAAATAACTTGTACATTTGAATCATGAAGAGGAGCTACTGCATAAAAGATAAATTTATCAGAAAATGAAAAACGTGAACAAAAGTTTTCAAGGACAAACAAGGTGAATTTTTTACAAGAGCTGTTTAGAAGCCATATATCAAAGTGGTGTTCATCGGCCTATGAGGATCTCAATTTGGTTAACCGTAAGCCTTAAAACGCCAAAATATTAACCATTAGGTGTGAAAGTTGACAATCTTTAACCGTAAAAACTTCTCCTGTCTTCAAGGCCATTTTGGGTTAACTGTTGGCCTTATTATCCCCAAGATTGTAACCGTGAGCCGTAAAAGCCATTACCCCATAGAGGCCCTCAACTGAGCGAAAAGGTCTCTGTGCAATTTACATTGCTTAAAATGGCTTGAGATATAGATAATTTATGATTTGATAAGACAGTAAATCCACCCTAAACGGCTTGCTTAGCTGTAGATTTTCAAAACAAAAAAAAACGCAAAAACATTTTGCCAAAAGTTCTTAATAATTAATGACACTAAAATGCAAGCAGATTTAACAGTTTAAAATGAGTGTTGATGTTAAGCTATACATCTACCAGAAAGAACTGAAGTTATCATTATTAACCGTTAATGATCCATTCAAAGTTGGAATCTTCGGGGGAATCATATCTTAGGTTGAATTTGAATATGAATACAGATTATGCGGTATATGAATATAAATGAAAACACTCAATTCAGTATCATGGTTAATCCGATTTAATTCTAAACATGAAATGGTTTCGATGAAATAAAAAACACAGAGGCTAGGGTTATAAGTGCAAATAATTTGAGATAAGCCCCGATTTTTCCTTCCTAGAGACTCAGACCTTAATTTTCGAGTTCAAGTGCGAAGATAGTTAATTTATATGAATATATGAATATATGAACTTTATATATTCATTGTATAGTTACTTTAGTCCACAAAAAAATTATGATAATTATCATTAATACATGTAGCGGTGAGAAAGCAATGTGTCCCTTTCGTGCTTTTATGTTCCGTTTTACGCTTTCTATATGGTATTTTGCAGAATGCTTTACAATAAAAAGATTGAGAGGAGGAAAACATACCTTGAACTCCTTGATTGAATCATCTGATAGAGTAAAGCTTCTGCCAAGAAGTCTCTTGATAGCTGGAGATTTTGGAAAGGAAAAACGCTATTTAACGGCGTTTTGGTGTCGACATGTAAATATCATCAAATGCTACTTGTAATGAGACAAGATTAGCGATGCGAGATATAAAAAACAAAGGTGTAATACATAGCATTAAAAATGTGAAGAACAAGGTTAGTTTTCTGTTCCTTAATGATGATAGCAAAGAAGCAGCTGGTCCCGTTTCATGCACAAATTTAAAAAGAGTTACGCTTCACCTTCAGATACGCTTCACGTATCTGAAGGTGAATACTTCAAATCTCTCTTCTTGCGTTTATATTTGAAGGGAAATCTTAAGGTTTTTAAGAAATGAGAGAAAAATAATTCATAGGTTACGTGTATTTCAGGAGGAAAATCACGCCTCACAGTGGCTCATAATTTTTTTAAATCATGTTAGCTGTTTCATTCACGCGTCATAATAATTTAATTTACCCTTACTCGCGCATCAGATAAAAGCTCTTTACAGCAGTCTCTCAAATAAGCAACATCTACAAGGAAGTTTTATAAGGGTCAAACCTGGAAAACCACAACTTTCGCTGAAATGTTTGCAAAAGCCAACGTTCAACAGCTTTATATTCATACTACTTCTTCTCCAGAGGCTACTGTGCCTTGTTAAGTTACTCTTCACACTTTTTACACCCACCTTTTCCCGGCAGCGGTCCAAAAAAACCTCTCATCTGGAAATAAAATCATTTCTGCGTATCTCGGAACTCAAGAAACGCTTCGAATAATCATTGCCCCAGCTGGCACAGCAGACTCGAGTGCGAGTTGGTGTACCTACATCAAATACTTGCATTTTGGAAACAGTGGCCGGCTTTCAAAACTCAACTGAACTAGTTAGTTATAGTATTCTTGCCCAAGAAGGTAGTCAAGTAGTGATTTATCCCCCTCAAATATGGTCGGGTCCAAAGCCGTCAATGCATTATATGGCGAAATATTATAGAGCCGGTGGCTGATGCGTAATGAAAAATTTAACATAAGCCTCTTGTCTGGTCAGACCAGAATGTTCACGTCCATCGGGAAAAGATTGACATCTAGATTTAACCAGAAAAAAGAAAGTGAACAAACCCACGTTGTGCCTATCTCTTTAAATCCTTTCTTCCAAGATAATAAATCTAAGAAGTGAATGACTACTTCTTATAGAAGTCCAAAGTCAATCAATGCATCCTATGGCGATATATTATTGAGCGTGGCTTGATATATCAGAAGGAACTGTGCGCCTCGAACTAGAGCCTCTCGTTCACCCCAAACCAAGCTTTGCACTAGGCGAGGGACAAATTGTCATGGAATGTATGTCAGCAGGAGGAGAGAATATGGCTGCTCGGCTAAGAACTAGAGATACAACCAACTACAGGAATTACAAAAGTTACAAGAAAATCACTAAACTACTTACAATTCTGGTTGCCTTCTCTTCTGACTTTTAAAGCGAGGCACGTATCTATTTATACTTTTGCAAAGGTATGCATTTCACGCAATACGCGTAGCTTTTGACACCTATTTATTAATCCTTATACAAAGTCTCAAGTTCTGTATCAAAATATGTGCGTTATGCAAAATAGTAAGATGATTTTATATTAAATATGCTGTCGCACATCTGCAGTGATGTATGAGGGGCTATGCCCTTTGTAGATCTTTTTTGCCTTAAAACAGAGTTAATAGAGGGAACAAATATATAACCGAGCGAACGTTTTGGGTCGGTAGCAAGAAATTATACACGTAAATTAGCACAATTGGAACTTACATTGTTAACTGTTGCTACAAACTGCTGTTTGACTGTTTCATCACCTTCTAAAACGTCCAAAATAACTTCGAAATCGTCTTTCCATAGCAAGAGATCGTCTATTCCATCCGCCATCTTGTTTTGAATGTGTGCACCTTCGTGATCACGTGACTTGTACCTTCAACCTCAGAGGGCTCCTATTGTTCTTATCGTCTGAAGTTCGCCGGCTTTCATAACCAGTTCCCTCTATTAACACTGCTTAAAATGAGCTTTATCCTCTGAAGCACCATGAAATATTCAATTATGATACATTAAATTATGATCGGAGTTAGATAATTGTTTGCTCCTGTTTCGTATATGTAACAAACGACCTTTGTTCCTGTAGCCACGTGATTCATAGCCCAATGTTTTTTTTTTGCGTTTTATTTCAGTAGACCTCATTTTGAATTAATTAGCGTTATTCTGCACGCGAGAAAGATGTTTCTGAACTAGCAACATTCCGCTTACATTTGGTTCACGGTTCGGCTGTAGACTTATAATTAAACAAAGATCTCTTACGCGAAGTATTTGCACGAAATGGGAATAGAGAAACCCCGAGATATGCTTTGTAAACAATCAATACCAGGATGGGTTGACTATCTGCCAAGTTCTATTGCTATTGAGGGAGCAATGCAACAATTTCAGGACAGCAATCCCCTTTTGTGATACAGCAATATGGACGGTAAGATTATATTATGTTAAATAAGCTGTAGATTGGATGTAAAATGCGAAACAATTGAGTTTGTGTGTGAATGTGAACATTTTCGAACAACTGACGGCACTGTCAAATCAGCTCATTTTATCCAACTTTAAAATTTGATTAAATCGCACTGAATCATTTCCCCAAAAAATCCTTTGGAGATCAAAAAGAACCACACTTCGCCTTCCAAAAGCCAGATTTTCAGTCGCTTATTTTTTATAGCACATAGTTAAATAACGGGTTACTTTTGACCTATTATTTATCTTGTTAGAAGAAAGTCGGTTAAATTAAATTAGATTGTGTAAATAAACGATCAAGAATTGCTCAAATTGCTGTCAGCGTATGTATTGATGTTGTTTTTCAAGATTTGGTAGTTTTTATCGGTACAAGTGTTTTCAATTCGTGGTGCGACGCTCCGGGATTCGTCTGAAATTTTGAGCTTCAAAAGCGGCATTTGGTCGAACTTCAGTTATTATGATCGATTTTCTCGGAAATAAATCGATATTCAGCCAAACGAAGTATGCAGTGCTTTGTGTCACCATAAGGCCTACCTAACTTGAGCATATGAGCCGAATCGATTTTTTGGCTGTTGCCACCAAATATTTGACCGCTGGTAACATTCGCTCTTAACAGACATATCATAGGTAAATTTTATATACTTCCCGTAGAAGTTTCTGTAGATCCTCGACATCCTTGATCTTCAGCACGCGGGAATCCCGGTCTTTGCGAAGATAAACACACGAATTCTTAGCCCAGCAAAATTCAAAATGATAATCAGTTTTAATTTTTTTTGCTTCGGAGTAGACATTCTGCATTTTAGGTATGAGATGGTCGAAAAGTCGAACAGAGGATAAGGAAGCTCGGTCAGGCAGACCAATGTTAATAGGATTTGGTTTACAAGCATCTTTCCGTTGAGCCATAACCGCCTCCTTTGCTAGTCACCTTGTAAACTTGCATATGATTGGCTTCGGCAAATTCCCGGCACTTCTGAGTGGCACTCGATGCGCTATGTCTACTTCCTGTAAGCTAATATTCGTTCCCATCTCGGAAAACAATTTAGCACATAATTTTCTCGTAACTTCTGCCGTTTCCTGACTATTGAGTTCAAGTACTCCTACAATCTTGATGTTGTACTGGAAGCTGTACTCCTCGATGGCATCAATAGCCTTCCCTACTTCATCAACTTTTGCACTCACCTAGGCAAGACGAGCACTCAGCCGCCTGAGTTCTGCTTCTGCTCTAGTTTGGACAGATTGAAATCTGCTTGCTCATTTGTGGGAGATCGTTGGTCTCTCTCAGCCTGTGCTGCTGCTGATGTTGACTCGTCGCCATCGTTGTTAGCTAACTGCGATTTGAGATTCTTGATCTCTCCAGCGAAATCTTTAATTTTAGCTTTAAGCTCTAGATTCTTCTTCTTTAACGATGAATCAGAGTCACTCGGCATGTTGATGATTGAAAATTTGACAATTACTAAAGAAAATAGTATACAATGCCCGAAGAAAACGTTGAAAAAGTTGAAGCTAGGACGGAGCAAACTATGCGTCCATCTTGGTCGCTCACCGCTGACCAGTACATGTATGTTACAGACATTGCGTTTAAACTCCAGTGTAATCAAGAGAGGTTTTACGTATGATGCACGATCCTCGCAGTAGAGAGCGCCATTTATGCAATAGCGAAAATCAGACCTGAAAAAAATCAGGCCTGTACGGGATTCGAACCACTGACCTCTGCGATACTAGCGCAGCGCTCTACCAATTGAGCTAACAAGCCAACTGGGAGCAAGCCGTTAAGTTGATTCGTAATAAACCCGTGATGATAAATCACATACAATGAATATATGAAGTTCATATATTTGAACTGCGGTATTAGATACGTATCGTGCATCATACGTATCTAATACCGCAGTTCAAATATATGAACTTCATATATTCATTGTAATAGAGGTTTTGCACCGCAGCCATGTTGCATGGCAGGAACAATAGATTATTTTTCCCATGGGAGAGATTTTCTCTCTCACGCAAAATATTTTTATTGTTCCTGCCATGCATCATGGCTGCCATGCAAAACCTCTATATGTGCTAATACTCTTAAAGACTGTATTTTACTCCATTTCAGTTCTTTTTTATGCAAAAGCATTGTGAGATCGCAGTATATCACGTACTAACGTATTAACCCGTTCACTTCCACGATCTCATTAGTAACTCTCGTAACTGTCTCACAAATACATCTCATAATGCTAATTCTGACAAATTGGTATTTGATAAATTCACAATCCCCTGACTGATAATTTTCTTTTTACTCATCACTATTCTGCTTGATATAATACTGATATTCAAAGGGGAAATTATGTCTTGTCAATTATGAGAGTTGAAGGTTTATAATTAACTGGTGTTTCCTGCAAGGTTATGATGCAATATTCAGGTGCACCATCACAGTAATCACTCTATCCATTTCATTAGATTGTTTATTGCAGACAATAGCCAACTTATTTCATTATCATTTTTTAGATACTTTTGACTTGTATCTCACGGAAAAGAACGCCGCGCTATTTCAGCATTTAGAAGAGATATGACCGATCTCCTGAAAGACCTCACCAAGACGTTCGTGCTTGTGTCATTTGATCTCAAACTCTACCCCCCAAGTGTTTTATTAAAGTTCCTGTCATACAAAGTTGGCACCAATATATGAAGCTCGACCAATTCCATTAATTTTATCCTATTCGATGTTCAATAGCACTCTAACATGATATAAAATTTGATGAGTTTCATTCAGAAGATAAAACAACTTTAAGCTACCATTGCATCAGAATTGAAATGAATTAAAAAAAAAATTATCCACAAGAACCCGCTTAACACGTCAATAGAAAATGAAACGGCTAGAACACATTGTAAGCTGCATCGGGTTCTACGTTTCCTCACCTCAACATGCCCAACCTCCGTTTACAAGTAAGCTCAATTCCGACTGCCCTTATTTAGTGCGCATGTCTCTGCCTACTTTTAAGACGTACTAATCGTGGCTCAAATGAGTTTCGTATTAACTAAAAGCAGTTCTTGATGGATCGATACTACTTCACGAAGAAAGAACGATTAAAATTAGAGAACAATCACCGAGTTTTTTTCATGTTGAAATAGTTCTTACAAGGCTGTAATAGCTTTACGTCGGTCATTAAAAAATACAATATCTTAAACGGAGACTACAATCATCTCATGTAAGGTGGCAGTTTTTTTTATGGCCTGACATTTTTATTCGCATGACAAAAACCTCCATTTTCCGACAATAAGCAATTATTCGATATTATTACCTTAATTGATTCCCCAGAGTTTCTCTTTTAGAAACACTGACACCAAGAACTAATTAAATTGACTTTTCTACATCAATTTCTTTCTATTCGGCAAAAGAGCTAAGAAAAGGGTGATAAAAAAAGAAATGAATATAGTAAACAGCAAACAATACTGTCAAATAATGGAAAATTGATCAAATTTCGGTAAGAAAATATCATAACGTATGCCGAGCTACGCGTTTTGATAGCATTTAGCCTCCAAGAAGCCGCTGAAACACGCAACAACTAAATGAAAATGATTAATGCTGAGTACAAAACTACGACGTAACCTAAATCAGAGTTAACTCTACCTAAATCGGGTTCTAAGTATCACCATCTCACATGCCAAAACTGTGCACAGTTAAAGGTCTCCGGGGGTTAGGCATTAGCCATAAAACGCCAAAAACAAACAAACAAACAAACAAAAAACAGAAACAAAACAAAAAAGATCCACTGTTTTCAACCGTTAGTCGTTAAAATGAAAGTAAAAAAACTTCCCATTTATGATATATCCTTTTAGAACTATTAATATCTTAAACTGATATGGGTCTCATCTTGTGGCTAATGTGGTTAGGACGGTTTCGTTACCATTAACGAGAACAGAGACATTTGTCTCAGGTTCTACGAGACCATATTCCGCAAAACAGAACTGTCTTCTTTTTGCGTGTGGGATGAGTTGAAAGAGAGGTGACTAGTTTGCTTTAGGATCTTCAGTTTCTTTATTCATTGCATGTCTGGTGGCTGTCCTGTAAGGAATAATTAGTTGGGATGAGTTGACTGAGAGGTGACAAGTTTGTTTTAAGATCTTCAGTTTCTTTATCCTGTGTACGACTGGTGGCCGTTCTGTAAAGAGTAATTAGCTGTCTGTAAAGAGTGATTAGGATGAGTTGTCAGAGAGGTGACTACCGGTAGTTTGTATCAAGATCTTCAGTTTTTTCATTCAGTGTATGACTGCTGGCTGTCTTGCAAGGCATAATTAGTTTACATCGAACTGGGGAGGAGAAGCCAATTGAAATATATCGCGCAAGAACAAGTCTCTCCTTCAGCACTCAAAGGAGATCTGACAGATTTTCTTAGTATTAAGGGCAACACCAAGAGGTTTGAGTTAGAGTCACTTATTTTACCACCTCCTAAAAACCAGCGAGAAACAGAAAATTGTATCGTATCAACCCAACAGTATCTCGATTAGGAATTACCCCTATTACTCGACTCTAATGAGGAGTAAATTTTTTTCAAAACAACGACTATTAATTATAGACTTTTTTAATTTGATTGAAATCGATTTTGAACATTTTGTTAACTGTCACGGATCGGAAAGAAATTAACTGCTTGCCGAAAAATGGTCACAGCTTTAACCTTTTACCATAAAAGCGATAGCCCCATAGTGTTCTTCACACACAGTCTTGATCCCGGAAAGTTTAGGACAGTCTTGATCCCAAATAATTTACCCTAATCTGTTTTAATTCAGCATATATTTGGTAGGGGAGTTTCAAAATTGATTCAAGATTAATTTTTCCGCCAATTTTTAGCCAATTTTTCAAAGCGTCATACAGCAAAGAGCTGCTTTAGCTAGGTAGAAACGTATGCCTGCGTGGTCACAGTATATAATCCTTTTTTTTTCTTCCCTGTCCAATGTGGAATATGCCCTGAGATTAAAAATAACTACCCTAAGCTTTTAGCAGACAATTCAGCAGAAACATTATCGAACGTTGCTTACTTGCGGAGGTTTCCCAATTATGAAGTTTTTTTCCCGTTTTTGAATTAAGACACGATCAAGTTAAATATGTTACAAAACGGATTGGTCGCCGTTCCCGTATATGCGTTTTCATATGCATGTAGGAAACATTTCAGTGATTAAACCAGGAGTATTTCATAAATCAATATAGTTATCTTTAAATCTCGTAAAAGCATCAAATGATCGCAGGTGAAAAATGTTATAAAAGGATTTGGAAAAGAAACGGGTGTTCAGGTGGCAAAATTTCGTTTTCTTCTATTACCCATAACAATTTTGCACTGGATAATTTTTAATTAGTCCCTTCATTTTCTCCAGAATGTCAAAACTACAAGTCTGTTTTAGCTCTCTTGTTTTGCAAGATATTTTCTCTCCTAATTAATTAAAGAATATAATAGTTTTACATAATATGAATTTTTGGACCTTCATGCTCTCTATGATTCAGTTCCGACACTCCACCCTTTACATCAACCCTTCGTCGATGAAAACGTTCATTTTTTTTCTTGCGTCATAGACCTGATTTGCTTCTCATGGCTGGTCGACAGGCTTTACTTTTTACCGCGGTGATTTTCATTTCTGAAATGTTCCGTGACATTGCAAGTCAGCAATGTGGAGCCGGCGGTGACTTATACTCCATTTATCAAATGATGCTCAAGGGCCACACCTACAAGACGTTTAAGACTACGCCAGGTACACTGGAATGCAGAGAGGCTTGTCTTGCTGATTTCCGATGTCAAAGCTATAACGTCGTCATGTTCATTGCAATATGCGAGTTAAACAACCGGACCAAAGAGGCCAGACCAGAGGACTTTGTCAAGGAAGAGGACAGATATTACATGGCGAAAGGTCCAAAGCGAGGTGATACAATTTGAAAAAATTAAAACGTACCTACCAGCAGTATTACATCAAAGGAGGGGGGGAGGGAGGCCACACACACTCAGTCTGCTAGTTTGAGTGTAACTCTTAAACTAATACCATACAATGAGATACCTTGATAGGCTAATAATCATACAACATATTCGCAATCTTTAAGTTAAAGGTGACGCAAATAAATGCTATACGTAGCCAGAAATTTGTAGATCTTACGCTTCTTTCATGTTTATAACAATGACTATTTTGATTGTAGTTCCCCTCGGATCAACTCGTGAGTTGCCTGCTGAATCGTGTAAGGAGATCAAGGCAAGTGAAGGTGGACAGGCAGTCAGCGGTTACTATTGGCTGGACACTACTAGATCTGGGAACTCTATTTTAGCTCGCTGTGACATGAAGATGGGAGGTTAGTACAAGATATATTCAATGGCTTTTTGTCGTCGTGTTAATGAGAAGCCTTCTCTTACTCGATCTTATTATCAGCATCTTCCTCTTTCTATCTATCTTTATCTTCACCTTGTTTTCGTTATACGCAATCTATGCCCCATCCCAATGCATGTACCAATTCAACTGGACCCTCGTCATCTTGATCAGGTGCATCATCGTCATCTCTCACATTCTAAACATTTGTGTTCGTCCTCATCCATCTTTTTCTCCTCCAGCTTATCATAATCATCATTATCATCTTCACCATTTTTATAATCATCATTATCACCATTACTCTCCTCGGCTGGCTAAAGATATTAACTATATTCAAATACTGAGTTTGGTATTTTCAGACATTGACGAGTGCGCTATGAGCGCAATGAACACCTGTCATCGAAAAGCCTCTTGCATTAATACCCAGGGATCGTACAACTGCACTTGCAATCCTGGATACACTGGAGATGGTTTGACTTGTGCAGGTACGTTTAGTTTTTGAAAAGCCACTTGTTTAAATAGTTCATATGAAATTTGACATTAAAGGCTTACACCTGACTTTAACTTGAGGCTCTCTGAGAGGAGGCATAAATCGATTTGAATCAAGTTAATTTCGCTCAAAAATTATTGTAGTTTTCACTATCTTTCAAATCATGATACCAAAGCCTTTCACAAAGTTACTTTACTGCGTGAGTATCTCACCAAGCTCTTAAAAACGTGTCCACGAGAGCACCGGGCAGTCTTGATACATGCCATCTCACCGATTTCAATGAAACTTTGCCAGTTCAAAGGATCTACCCCAAAACTCAAAATGGCAAACTGGTTTCTGCTTTGGTTATTTCCGGAGGGAAGTTGACCACCCCCTCAGTTTTTCTAGGGTTTCACTAAAAAATGGCCTCAAAATAGGTAAAATGTTAGAAGTCTTACTGCAATTGTATTGGACAAATTACTGTGGCGGCTTACATACATATTGGTACATCCTTAATAAACGTACGATACAAGTTTCAATCGATTTGATTGACGGCTTGTCAATCAACAGAGGTGAATAAATTAGTGTGTTTTTACGCTTTTCGATTCACTCAAATATTTGGTAACTTTGAGGTCAAATATCTCTCCTTGCCAGAAAGCTACAACACTAATTTGAACGCCCCTTTTCTCGTCTATTATTTCACCTCTGAAAATCATTAAAAAATCTATGGGCACTGCCTTATTTTTGTCTGGAATGCCTTTTGAAATCTGCCGCTGTGAGAGCTTCTCTCAACTACACCTGTCACGCAATTCTAGCTGTGAGCAGTTATTTAGGCAAGTATAGCATCATTTTATAGCTCGTTAAACAAGATGATTAATCAAGGAAGCTAAGAAATGTAAGCAACTTTCCAGATTCTTGGTAGAAATTGGAAATTTCACATTGAAAGAGATGCATGATCTAGCCTTAGACGTCGAAACTGACCAAACACGGCAGAAGATGAGGTGGACCTTCAACTTTACATTATTCATTTGTCCTCTTTCAGTTGCCAGCTGCAGGGGGTACGTTTTTTATGAATTGCGCATTATAATTCACTGTTTGATTTGCAAGAAAAAAGAGCTCAGCTAACTGTGAGAATTTATAGCCATTTTATAGTTTACAGTTAGCCCCATTTAGATTCTCTAGAAGTCGACATCCGATTCGATTTTCGTAACTTTTTAGCAGATGTGGCAAAATTTAGTCGAAGACCGCAGGGTAGGGCACAACTGCCATTAAGTTACTAAAAATAGAGACCTTTGCCTCTCGCTTTTCGTTCAAGTTTATTGTCATGCTTCCGAAAACAACTGAATATTTTTCGAATTTTTTTTCATCATTACCTAACCTTGCGCGAAGCCTACTGATCAAAATAATGCGGCCTCATTCTTTAAGTCACGCAATTCAAGATCGAGCACGAGAGAGATTTATGAGTTACAGCATGTTTTAAGAAAAATCCAGATATTTCACTTGATCAATAACCAAGCAAATAGCAAAGAGATCTGCAGAACTTTCGAAAGTTGTTCCTTAGCAGACAGCGTAAACAACACGCTTGAATAATTCATATCCCAAGAAGCGTTTCCAAGTCACGCCACAGATATTAAGTTCGGCCAAGTTCTGCATGGAAATGTTCAATAGTAGTAATTGACAGCGATAACACCATTCAAGTTTTATTTTCTGGAATAATAGCGCAGTTTCTTGACTTAACAAAGCTGCTGAGATGTCCTTTCAAGCGAGAAGGCACAGCTTCTCGTCTGTGCTGCAAACGGAAACTTGAATGTCAACAAGAATGCGGCATGTGAATTTAAAATCTCCTTTCCTGTTACAATCTCTTGATTGTAAACTGTGGTAATAAACAATCACATCAAAGGCTAATAAATGTTTTTTGCCGTAAGAAAGCCATATTTTCCCATTTTTAACAAATCTCCAACAGAAACGACTGAAGGGAGAAACAGTACGATTCTCCCATCAATATTTCGCCTACATGCTTCTCTTTCGTTGTGAAATTTCCAATTTCTACCAAGAATCTGGAAAGTTGCTTACATTACTTAGCTTCCTTGATTAATTATCTTGTATAACGAGCTATAAAATGATGGTATACTTGCCTAAATAACTGCCTACAGCTAGAATTGCGTGACAGGTGTAGTTGAGAGAACCTTTCACAGCGGCAGATTTCAAAAGGCATTCCATACAAAAATATGGCAGTGCCCAAAGATTTTTTCTTGATTTTCAGAGATGAAATAATGGACGAGAAAGGGACGTTCAAATTAGTGTTATAGCTTTCTGGCAAGGAGAGATATTTGACCTCAAAGTTACCAAATATTTGAGTGAATCGAAAAGCGTAAAAAACACACTAATTTATTCACCTCTGTTGATTGACAAGCCGTCAATCAAATCGATTGAAAATTGTGTCGTACGTTTAGTTAGGATGTAACAATATGTATGTAAGCCGTCACAGTAATTTTTTTTAAATACCGTTGCAGTAAGACTACTAACATTTTACCTATTTTGAGGCCATTTTTTAGTGAAAACCTAGAAAAACTGAGGGGGTGGTCTATCTCCCCCTGGAAATAACCAAAGCAGAGACCAGTTTGCCATTTTGAGTTTTTGGGTAGATCTTTTGAACTGGCAAAGTTTCATTGAAATCGGTGAGATGGCATGTATCAAGACTGCCCGGTGCTCTCGTGGACACGTTCTTAAAACCTGCGCTGGTAGACTTGGTACACTGCCTGGCAGCATGCACGTGCAGTTGCGTTGAAATAGGACATATAATCTATATAACGACATCTAGCCCATTTAAGCGTTGACGTCACTATGAAGACTACTTACCGTCCCGCTCACTTTCACCATCAGAGTGATGCAAGAAGGGTAATTCTAAAAATCGAGTTGCTGTTGCGTTCCACCAAGCGGTATAGTTTTAGGTCAAATGAACCTGTACCAAATTTACTGGTTTGGTCGTTAAGATCAACCAAGTCGATGACCTGTTTCTTTTTTACATTATAACAGAAGCGGTGTTCCTCTCCAATTTTTATCATCCCTTTGTACCCTTCTCCTCCCTAGCTCAATACAGACTAGTTACTATTCCACCATCACAAGCACACTTAAAAGAAGAAACCGTATATTTTAAAAACAGTCTGCTTTCTTTCAACGCATTTCGCGCGCGAAAAGCAGACACTTCAGGTTGGCGGAAAATGACTGCGGAACTCAGGCCATTTGTTTTCAGTACCAAGATAAAAAAAAATGAAGTATCAGTTGTAAACGAATGAAACACAAGACACAAAAGTCTACTTTCTTTGACACTTTTCGAATGACTCATCTCAGGACGAAAAACCTTTTTACGGCTTTTTTACCTTTAGCCATATTTTACGCCTAACGGTTAAAATTCGTTAAATTTTACGCCTAACGGTTAAATTTTTGGCCGTTTTACGGTTAACCCTATTGAGACCTTCATAGATGGATTTCTATTCAGCTGTTCGAATTCATTTCATTGGGATGAATTCTAAGGTTAGCCTTCTTTGATACTGAGTGGTTGAAAAAGAAACAAACGTGCAAACGAAAAAGAAAGAAAAATCTCCCTGTAGGGGTTATAGTAATAAGATGATTCGACTGTTGGCCGGTTGGAGATTCAGGAACCTTGGCTTTACAGAAATCTGGTCAAAGCGTTGAGGTTCCAAATTGAGGTTTTGTAGCATCGATCTCGATCGCTCAATGAAGACTTTAAATTAACAAAACCACTCCTTTGTATGTTAATTCTTGTTTAAATTCGGTTTAAATTATTGTCTCTTAAACAGCTGTGGACGAATGTCAGATGGGATCGTACTCCTGCCCTTCCAACGGCCATTGTTTCACCACGGTAGGCTCATATGTATGCAAATGCAAGCCTGGATATTATGGGGATATTCGAAAAAATTGCACAGGTGAAGTGTGAAAATGAATAAGCAAATAAATGTTTAACTATATTTTCAGAGAAAAATAAAATATGAATATGTTTCTGCGACAGGCATTGAGTAAATACAACGCTATTAAAAACCATGCGAGTTGATTGTTAGGAGAAACGTCTTTTAAAGACGGTTTTTCCTGCTTTCATTAATGTCACAGATTTCTCAGGAAACACATGTGATGTTGTAGAGTGGTCAAAATTTCACATTCCTGAACTGTGATCAGGCAAGTGATGAGTTCTGCCTTTAAATGTTTTCTGATACATATATAGTATTAAATCCAGGCATGATTTCCCCGGCTCATTGCCCCAAAGGAGAATGATTTAAAGCTGAATTTATTCGTTACAAGCAGCATTGTGGTCAGTTCGATCTCAGATATATTTAACACTCAATCAATCATATGATATGTTGATTGCACAGCCACTAATGAGGATGCTCCTATCCGTTTAACGGGCGGTGGAGCAAACTACGGACGCGTAGAAGTTTATTACAACGGGACGTGGGGCACAGTGTGTGATGATCACTGGACAATCAACGAAGCCAACGTGGTGTGTCGTCAGCTTGGCTTTTCTGGTGCATCTCAGGCTAAGTGTTGCGCTGAATACGGTCAGGGCTCTGACCCGATCTGGATGGACGATGTCTACTGCCAAGGGGGAGAAGCAAAGTTATCTCACTGTACGTTCCTTGGCTGGAAAATCGAAAACTGTCGACATACTGAGGATGCTGGTGTGGCGTGCAACCATTAGATTGGTCTCAAACCAAAAACTGGTTTGCGCAAAAACTTTTTTTTCTTTTGCGACATGCTCATATTGTGATCACATTACAGTGAGTTATCAGAAATAATCGTTAAAAGGTAGAATTACTTAACCGCTTGAAAACGTAATCATAAAGATTCTACCCGTAAAAACTTCTTCTGTACTTATCGCAGTTCCTCCTGTATGATGTAGCCTATGATTGTTTAAATGTAAGCGTCTACACACCTGTAATGGGTAGTAGCTAATGGAGAGCTTACGGCTTGTTTCATCAGCGTACCTTACTAAAGAAGGTTGTACGAGTTAGTACCCTCATTAAATAAATGAAAGATAGTATCCTTTTAAAATATTCCTGATGGATGAGTAAGTGACGTATTTTCCTTTCTCTCAATTACCTCTCTTGTGAAGGTGGTGTTACACAGAACAAATCGGGACAACTTCTCCTGAGAGACTATTCTACGAAAAATCAAACCCTTTGTAACAAGAAATCGGTAAAACCGGAAACAAACCTTGTTCAAATTTTGACTAGGAAACAGATTGCTGGAGTTTGGTCTCGATTCAAATATGTGCAACGCAAGATCACTGACGTTTATTTGCAAGGTCAACTAGTATGCCAAGAATTTCTATCACCTCTCCGATACTTAACCAGTAGGAGCCTGGGCCTAAATGTTGCGTTGAACATTGTCAAGTATAACACACCGTGCTAAAAGTTTTCGCAGCAAATGTGCGATAACAGGTGTGTCAAGTAATATTAATACATTTATCGAGAGATCTGTGACAAATCATGTAAAATGCTTAAAACAGACAAACAACCACAATAACTTTGGTGCCGATGACAATATCAGTTGGGTAGTAAACTCAGATGCATCTCTTTTGACCTTTTAAACCTTGGGTCGGGAGATAGCTTCCGGCCTTTATTTAGTGGCGGTGCATTCGAGTGTCTTTCAGTTGCGTGGCGAAATCCAGGGAGCGTAGATTTACTGTAGTCCGTCTCCCGATTTGCTTTTTGCCTTTGCTTAAAACCTTCGCAAAATAGCATCCAGTTGGCACGGCGACATATGTTCCAACTGTATCTGGATTTTTTCTCCTTACGCCAAGCTAAATTCCAAAGGAAAAGAGGTAATAACATTTAATTTTGGTACAAAGCGTGACTAATTTGTTGTTTTGTTGCGAAAATATTTGTTGCATTTGCATTTTTTGCGGCCTTGTTGATTGTTTGGTAAATTCCCTATTGACAACTGTGTGCCTCATTCCCCGGGTTGATCAAATTTAAAAAGAACAATGAAAACGAAAAAAATTTACCTTTAAATGTTGTCAATGACCAGTTGGTGACTTTTTTGTTCCCAGTGAATGTCTCTCGGCCAAAATTTGCTGTAACGGGTCTACCGACAAATTTGCGAAACGCGCAAGTTGCGAGTTTTTTCAGCTTTGTTTATGCTGTTTGTTGGATCAGGACCTAAAAAGTCAATGCCGATAGAAAAATTGGGCAGTTCTTCGCTAGTTTCTTCCATATTTTAAAGAGAAGGAAAACTGTACTGCAGCTTGACAGGAAGGCAACTCTGCATATTTAGATTTTGTTCATAGCAGCTCAATAGGACTTTTAAATAGGGAAGCACGCGCGCTATGTTGTCATTTGATTCACCAATAATAAACTGTGATTTACTTTAACCCGAAGAATGCTATGTATAGTGGAAGAAAAATAAAAAGTAAAAGTTCGTGGGATGGAAGAAAAATGCTTACCAAAAACCAATATTTACACTACATAAAGGGAGATAGTTCTGGCTTTTGAGCTTGGAGTTAAAGTCTGCTTCATTAGTGTCAACAGGGGCTCCTGGTGTAAATAAGGCAGAAGGGCAGACGGAAAGACTCTACTATTTCTGCTTTTTTTCGGTTTTCCTAAGAGGATGTATTATTTTGTGAAAACATGTACAGAGTTGGAATTTGTCAGGCTGAAGGGAGTTCATCTCGAAAGAATGGTAAGTTACGTGACTCGGCTGAGCCGTTTCGAAGAGTGGACTCCATTAAGAGGAAAGTTTTCTCAGTGCTTCTAAGTAAGTTATGAAGGAATGCAGGAAACAGGAAGTTGCTGTCAACTGGTAGGAGACTAGTGCAAATTAGTATATTGTTATCAAACCATCAGACATTGGTTTTGTTTTACCTTTGTACGTCACTCCATTTTTGGGCTCAACCTCAACAGAGGAGACCACTTACCGACAGCTTAAACTAATTTTGTTCCCATTTTTTTTTTCAGTAGACTTCTTCAGCAGAAGTTTGTCTCTAGGGAGTGAAAATTGGAAATTTTCTATAGTGAAGGCAAGAATACAAGTTAATATGGCTTTTAAGAGAGATAAAGCTGAGTCGGTCAGTAATTTAATGAAGGCAGCTCACACAAGCAAAATATATTTATCTCTGTGTATGAATAGATATAGGGAGGACAAAATTGAAACGTATCAAGAAAACTACGAAAACTTTGTTTCTCTCCACGATTTAGTGTACAACAAATGATTTGCTAAAAAAAAAATGAGTGTGGCCTCTCTTAACAAAGGCACCGCGAAAAGTCACAGCGTTCCAGAAGCCGTGTTAACCATAGTGATTAACAAATCTATGCGATTCCTTTAAGCACAATATCAATTGTTCAATAGAAGCTTGTCCACTGGCGTCTTTTCGTCACGAATGAAACTTCTTTACAAAAGAAGTGCAATGTTCTGAGAATTTCGGTGGCTTTGCCGAGACGTTGATACTATAGCCCAATTTCTATTTTTTTTTAAAAAAAAAAATCAGCGGAGGAAATAGATTTTAAAGGTGGAAAACAGTATTAGAATTAACCCAGTATAATTTTAAAAAATTCTCAAATTTTTCGATAAGTATTACGGAAGATTGGTAAAACTGCCGTTAACAAGCGCATGCACGATTCGGAAGTCCTTTAAAGTAAGACTGAGATTGAGGCAGAGTAAAGTTGAGAAGATGATAAATACTTCACAGAAAATAGTAAAAAGTAGGAAGGTAAACATCACATATAGGGAAGAGATAATGATAAAATTGCTTTTATTTTTATCAACTTAAGTATAAAGTGCTCTCTTGTTTACAGCCCACAGTGTAAACCACTGGGTTACCAGTAATTGTATTAGCCATCAAGGTGCCTCGTACCGGTTTTCATCTTTTTTATGGTTTGTAACTTTGAAAGAATACAACAGAAAGACTGACCAACGCCAGTTGAACACTTTTACGGGGTTGAATTAGACAAATATTGGTTATCCAAAAATAGGTGTCATTTCGTCACTAGCAGTTTCCATAGCAACGCTATCATAGGCTCAATCAGACGCATCTTTTAGCTTGTGGCTTAAATAATTCGAAAACTAACCCGGTGACCCCGTATTTTTTTTTAGTGATTGCTTTTGGCACCTGAAAAGGAAAATGCACAAAGATTTTTAAAAAACTGTACGAAGCGGAATTTTAGAAAATTTAGAAAAGAGGCAATTTTCACACATCGCAAATTTCCTTCCGTAAAATCTCTAGTTTTTTTTCTGATGAATCCTTTCGACGTTATTATCATTTTGGAACAATAAAAAGAAGAGGTCACCGGACTTTTTTTCATGTAAAAGCTTTCGTGAGTTTAGCAATTTCCACGCGCGTTCTCGCGCATGTAAAAATCTGGATTCTATAAGATCGACATTTGCTCATGATCTGCTATAGCTACCGCTGACAATTGCGTGTGCTCGCGCGAGCGCCTGTGATCTGATGTTTACAGACGTTTACTGCTAAGAAAATCATTAAACAGCTGTTAAAGACAGCCTCCCGGGCTCATATTAAAAATCCTACACACGACTTCTGGCTATATCATATTATTTTCCTTTAAGTTTCAAAGTCTTCTTCCACTTCAGGTAGATTATCCTTCACTTGAGTTCTTCTTTTTTCGCCGTCGCAAGATTTCATATCGGTTGAATATTTCTTTTAAATGTGAAGTGAAGCAACCTTTACTTCTCCAAAAATCGTCTTCTTTATCTTAGTTTCTATCTCCTGCATTCACAGTAGCCGCTCAACACATCAAATACAAGCTCTTAGGTAAACTTCTCACAAAAGTAGAAAAAATTCCACGCGCCGCCATCTTTGTTTTGAATTTTCATCTTTTGATCTCGCGCTTCTTTCGCACGTTTCTCTCGCGCGCGTCACGCAAGAGTGACCTGTTCCCCGCGCGAGGAAACTGGTACGAGCCACCTTAACGTTNTATCACGGAATTACTTAGTTATCGTACATGTTCACGTACGCTACGCTCTACTGATCAAAAATTTCTGGCAGTTCCGAAGTCAAGACTTAAAACATACGGAGACAGGGCCTTTTCCGTTGCTGCACCTAAACTCTGGAATAAGCTGCCATTAGATCTTAGAAGTTTAGATACACTTAATTTATTCAAGAAACACTTAAAGACTGATCTTTTTAAAAAAGCATATAATGTTTAACTTTTTGATAATTTGGAATGGGATTTACTGTGATATTTTTATAAATAAGTCTGCAAATAGGTTTTTAATTTATTCACATTTTATTACCAGCGGGATCTTTTTAATTATTTTAATATTATGAATGGTAAAGCGCTTTGGTCAATTAGTGGAGTTAGCGCTATATAAATTATGTTAAATTAAATTAAATTAACCGTCGTCATGTTCATTGCAATATGCGAGTTAAACAACCGGACTAAGGAGGCCAGACCGTGAGAAGACTTTGTCAAGGAAATGGACAGATATTACATGGCGAAAGGTCCAAAACGAGGTGGTACAAATTGCAAAGATTAAAACGTACATGAAGTGTTTCACCAAAGGAGGGGGAGCGAGGACTATACGCGCTAAATCTGCTACTGTGACTGTTACTCGTAAACTATACAACGCTCACTACTGTTTGATGCATACTTTAATAGTGTACATTTAGTGGGCGGTGGAGCAAACTTCGGACGCGTAGACGTTTATCGCAACGGGCACTGGGGCACAGTTTGTGATCATCACTGGACAGTGAACGAGACCAATATGGTTTGTCGTCAGCTTGGCTTCTCTGGTGCGACCCAGGATACTTGTTGTGCTAAATACGGTCAGGGATCTGGCCCAATCTGGATGAATGATGTCCACTGCCAAGGAGGAGAGGCAATTTTATCTCACTGCAGAAGCAATAATTGGGGAGTCAATAAATATGATCATAGAGAGGATGCTGTTGTGGTGTATAACATCTAATTGAGCCGAACAAAAAATTTTTCCTGGCTGATAAACATAACTCGATACAGGAGCA